CACATGCATTTTTAAGTCTAAAGTTGTTTTTGACTCTCATATGACACTGACCCGCATGATGAAATGATCTTCTGCCCAGTTAATAACACTCTGAACTCATTTAATCAGATAATAACATGCACAGAAACATTTCTACATTACAAACATTCCACTCCAAAGCTGGTTCTGTCATGAAACGAGTGCGTGTGGAAGTGCGAACAGACCTAGACAGCATTCTGGAGTATAAAGATTGTCTTTCTGCATTCATTTGAGCTTAAACGTAAAACCCAACTGCATTTTCTGTAAGCAATAGTTTTGTTAGAGTAACTTTCAGTTATTGAGTCAACTTTGATGGTAACTATAGTTTCTTCCAGAATAACATTGTATTTTTACACTCAAATCTACACTGTAAAAAAAAATCTGTGACATTTACGGTAAAATACCGGCAGCTGTGGTTGCCAGAACTTCACCGTAAAAAATATGGTAGCAACATTTTAGGTTTTACAGACTTAACTTAAATTCACAATAAAATACCGTATTTCATTAAATGATGTAATGTTAATAAACCAACATACTGAAGTGTTAATATCTGTTTTGAACCATTGTAATGCACTGATAACCACCAAAAACTGGTGGTGATGAGAAAGTCACATCTTTTCTACGAGCCGAGGAGGGCAATACTTATATATAGAAGGTGCACACAGTGTCATTCACACAAACACTAAACCCCATAATGGTGACACACATGATACTGAAATAATGCAATAAACATTAATTTAACAACATTAGATGTAAGATAAAACCCTAATGTACACAACTGATAAGAAAAAACATGTTATTTCAACAAAAAAAAACATCAAATATGATGCTTCATGCAGGGAATTCTGGGAGTGTCAATTTACGGTTTGTCACTGTAAATTATACAATGACTTTTTCTTTTTCACTTCCAAAAACTGTATTTTTAACAGTATTTTATTGTAAAATTACATTAAATGTAATTACATTTATTCACCGAATATAGTATGGAAACTTACTGTTAACCAGTTAACAGGTTTTTACTGTAGCATTTTTACAGTCTTTTACTGTTAAAATCACAATCATTTTTACAGTGTAGAAAGTTTACAAATAAGGTTCCATTTATGAATTAGTTAATGAAGAATACTTCTAAAGCATTAAGCGTTCATTTCAGCCATTTCTAAATTGCATGTTGGTGTAGAAACAATTTTCACTAAGAAAATGGTTAATTTCACAAAGAAACTGCAAGCAACACATTTAATTAAACATACAATTTTTTGCAGTAGAAAGACTTTTAATTTACAGTGCTGGCCTGCTGGGTGGATTACTTACAAATTGTAGTCTGTTACTGATTACAGATTACATGATGAAAACTGTAGTTAGTAATGTAGGTTACTCATTTTAGGTAATCTATTCTGACTACTTTTTAGATGACTTTCGATAAAGTTTTACCTAACTTATTTTAAACGTACCGTTAAATGCACCACACATTGATATTTTTGATGTCAACATCATGAAATGCATTAAACATTACCCCAGTTTTTCCCAAACAGCAGTGGTTTTAAGCTGATAAAAAGCTAATAATTATTTCAATAACAAAAAAATAAAAAGAAATTATTTTAAAATAAAAACAAAACACTTGAACACTCAAAATATAAATATTTAATTTGTTTACCTGCATGTAACGTTAACAGACTTACAGATACTGTAACAAATGCATTGTTTATCATTAGTTAACTGGTTAATGCAACTAATAGGATGCAACTAAAGCGTTTTTGTTGTTTTTTTTTATGTAGTATATTGGCGTGAACTATCATGTTAAATGTTATCATGTTAAATACACAAATTGCATGTTTATGCTACTATCTGCCGAGTTACTCTTTTACAATAATCTGCATCACTGAATGCACAAACCTGTCGAGACTCACCGGATTTGGGGTAAGTGACGATGAGGATGTCGTCTGGACGGAAAGTGAACTCCTCACAGTATTTCAGGCTTTCTGGAGGGTGTAAATGTGTCGGCACGTACACACCTTTATACACCGAGTACAGCTCAGCCTCCGTCATTTTCTGAAGCACAGCACAATTAAAACAGCGAACTAAAACTCCCAGCTGGGCTGCGTTCAGCTCCGACAAAACGGTGCAAAACGTGTTTTAAACGGAAACGGTGGTGCGTTGAACTCTGTTCTGATGTCGCAAGAGTTGCAACTATGGCAGCTGAGAAGGACATTCTTTGTGTTCTTTTTGAAGAATTTCCAGAGCCTGGTGAAATCGGTATAAATATGTGTTTAATACTGCAAAATATGCTCGAATGTTACAGTCACTGCCCTTGCCGTCCAGAATAAAAGAGAATATCCCAATCAAATGAAGGGATTTGTGGAAACTGTGGTTCCTAATTATTGTGATCCAACATTTGCCTCGCATTTCAGGATGAAAAGACAAACATTTCAGGTGAAGGATAATCCACTTCTTACCTCCGTGTTATGATCTATATGTCCTTATTATTTTTATTGTGAGTATTCGGCTTATCATTATTGCTGATCACTGTTGTTGTGCTATGATATTGTAATATTTACCATTATATAATCAGAGGGGTATAGAAAAGTTTATGAAAGTGTCACTCCACAATGCAATAGCAAAATATATAAATATGTATAGTATTTTTATGTTACATTAATCAGTGTCTAGCACACCTTCCTAAGGAAAGGATATGGACCAGAAGACATTGCAATTACTAAATGATATTTAGACAGACTTAAAGAAGTTCCAGATCTATACATGTGCTCTTATTATTTACGTTATTTTGCCTTTAATGTAAATAAACATGTGCAAACAATATACTTGCTCTTGTGAATTTATTTTGATGTTAATTACATTGTGCGAGCTGCCTCTTTAATACCGCGAGGTTTAAATACATGCTGCTGCTAGTGATGGGTCGTTCTTGAACGATTCGTTCATTTTGAATGAATCTTTAATGTGACTCGGGAGGAACGAGTCGTCTCGGGGAGTGATTCGTTCAGTCGTGCATGCGCAACATCCTATAGGTTCTGTACTGGAATTAGTCAAGTAGTTCACCTGTTTCGAGTCGTTCGTTCATCACGTGACAGCCCCATAAGCTTGAAATGGAAAAGAGACTTAATAATAATAACCAGCTCTTTATTATCTTTTGTTACAACATTTAGTGTTATGGAAAAGAACCATCATGACAGAAATTCACACATTTATAAACTGTAAGAAGTAAAAAGCTACAATTTGAGACCAGAAACTCATCACGTAACTGTAAGAGTAAATAATAATAATAATAACTATGCATCCGTTTGTAAGGAAGCTTGCAAATTAACTAATTTCTCTATGCTCTATTTTGTATTGTTTGTAGTGTGATCAACGTTTGCGTAAGTAGTAGACATGTTAGGGAAGTAACACGTAACATTTTAATTATATTTGGCTAAAATGAACGAAATGACTCGAAAAAAGATTCGTTCATTTTGCTGAACGAGACTCAAAGGTCCGAGTCGGTAAAATGATCCGAACTTCCCATCACTAGCTGCTGCTGATTGGGCTGACATTTTTGACACACCCACCAAACAAGAAACATGTCGTTCAACCCGGAAACCGTAGCAAAACGCACCGGTTTGAGCTTGAACGTGCCCCTGGTGTAGATTCTGTAATACCGCGAGAACTCAGTGAAATATAGTCCTCCTTCTCGCGCTGGACCTTCGTGTGCAATCACAAAATCGTAAACGGGCTCTTTCACAACTAACTGTTCGTCAAGTTGTAAAGGAATCAAATGAATGTCATAATCATTTGTATCAATTTGTGCAATAATGTCATGTTCCCGTGCTGTAGTGCACACAGTTGTTTTCTTAGCTGTTCGCTGCAAAAATCTTCTATATAATATATCAAATTATTCACAAAGTACAGTCAGTTTAGTCACAGACTTTTTTGACTAATGTTTCTTGAGCAGCATATTAGGATGATTTCTATAGGATCATGTGACACTGGAGTAACGATGCGGAAAATTCAGTTTTGATCACAATATATTCACAGAGAAAACAGCTATTTTAAATTGTAATCATATTTCATAATATGTGACCCTGGAGCACAAAAGCAGTCTTAAGTCGCTGGGGTATATTTGTAGCAATAGCCAAAAATACATTGTATGATTTAAAATGATTGATTTTTCTTTTATGCCAAAAATCATTAGGATATTAAGTAAAGATCGTGTTCCATGAAGATATTTAGTAAATTTCCTACTGTAAATATATCAAAACTTACTTTTTGATTAGTAATATGCATTGCTAAGAACTTCATTTGAATAACTTTAAAGATGATTTTCTCAATATTTAGATTTTTTTGCACACTCAGATTCCAGATTTTCAAATAGTTGTATCTCGGCCAAATATAGTGCTATCCTAACAATAACAATAATTTATTCAGCTTTCAGATGATGTATAGATTTTTTTGGTTTTGTGGTCCAGGGTCACATATTTACTTTATTTCTAACCAAATAAATGCAGCCTTGGTGAGCAGAAGAGACTTCTTTCAAAAACATTAACTTTTGTTTCCAACGGTGCTGCTGTAAGCGTATATTGCATGTTTTATGTTTTCTATGTGGACTGTTTTTGCATGTATAATAAAGGGCTGTATAAAACGATCTCTGAATTTATCATGAGAAACGAATGGCATAGCATTTAAAATGTTTTAGTTAGTCAAACTAAAACTCTGCAGCCAACCATTTATTTTATACATTACGCAATAAATTAAAAAGCAGTCCGTTCTGACAACACATAACATACACATGAATTATTCTAATCATTTCCATATTTTTTAATCATAAAATGCAAAGATCACACAATTAAAAATAGCAAAAAGCAACCTGTACATATAAAACCAGATGTTGTTTTTGTCATTTTGTTTTGTCCATCACACTCTGCTAATCATTTCCATATTTTTTAATCATAAAATGCAAAGATCACACAATTAAAAATGGCAAAAAGCAACCTGTACATATAAAAATTAGATGTTGTTTTTGTCATTTTGTTTTGTCCATCACACTCTATCTAAGGGTAAAAGCAGTTTTTAAACACTAGGTTTATGCAGAAGTTTTTGTCCTCGTTTCTTTCGTAGCACTGTGAGATCTGGCAACCAGCAGCCGAGGCCTTTCTCCTGACATCTGAATGAGATCCCGGCCACTGCAAGGTAAAAGAAGAACAAGAAATGTTGTTAGCTTAATGCACAATAATCAATAACATAATTTGCTTCGGTGAAATAGCATGATGCACAACAGACAGCTGTCAGTCCTGCTGCTTATGTTTAAGAAACTGCAGGACGTTTTATATCTCTGCTGTAATTCTCCTCACGTCTGATAGTCGACTCCCACCAGACTCAGTCCATTCACTGCTAGAATGCGGTCGCCGGCTCTCAGCCTCTGGGATAAAGCGGCAGGAGAGTCTGGAAGCACTGATTTGATGTAAATCCCACTCACAGTAGATGGGCTTTCCTGTGGAGAACACAGAAATATTGCTCCAAAGTATTTGTAATTCTGTATTGCAGCAAACATATCCACAACGTCTTTGTTTCTTATATACAATTTAAAAAAAATTCAGTTTTTAACCACATGGAGATGCTATTGGGCTGTAAAAAAACCCCTATAATATTAATAGTGATGATGTTACCATATGCATTATGGAAATGATTTGCAAGAGTAAGGCTGTAATTGAAGCAACTGCATGATATGCCAACTAATTCACATAATTAATCACAATTAATTGCATATATCAATATTTGCTCGGAAACGTCCCCAAATGAAGATCACTTAAAGAAAGGAGTTTTTGCAGAGGAGTACAGGACTGAATGCAATAATAAATGGCCTAATAAGTCAATATATTGTTATTGCATTTATATTGCACTTTTAAAATGCTGTGTCAGGTTAAACACAGTTCAACTTAAAAAAAAAAAACATGATTAATTTTTAATAATCACACTAAACTGACGTTAAACTGACTGATTATAGAATTTCACATACTGCAAGTATATAAACAAGCATATAAACTTTCTATTGCAATTTTCAAACAGGCTTTTAAACATTATCTCTGAAAGGCCATTTCTGCCATGAATCATATATATATATATTTCCAGCTTTCTTCTGTATTTATGATGAAAAAGTAAAAAAATGTGAGATATAAACTCAAAAGGGCAAGATAAAAACGCACAATTCTGAGAAAAAAAGAAGTCAGAATTGAATTGAAAATGAACATTTGCTGTTAATTACTCACTCCCAGGCCAGCCAAGATGCAGGTGACTTTTTTGCTTCAGTAGGTGATTCATAAAATGCAAGTCAATGGCAACCATAACTTTAAGAGTTCAAAAAAGCATATACAGGCTACAAAAAAGAAAACCTGTAGCTCCTGACGATATATTGTGGTCTTATGAAGCGAAACGATTGGTCTGTGCAAGAAACTGAACATCATTTACAACATTATTACCTGTAATCCAGAGCCTCAGGCAAACCAGGAAATACGTTTCTTTTCCGTGAACTGGTTCTTTTGGACAGTTTGTTTCAATGAACTGGTTCAGTTCACTAGTTTGTTTACGTAATCATGTTTTTAAAACACCAACTAATGATGTGAAATGTGGATGTTTTACATGTCTAAATTATATAAAGTGAATAAACTAATCTTCATCGGCTCACCTTTTTACATAAATAATGAGAACCCATAAAACGTTCATTTCACGGTTTCCTTTCGTTCACGGTTCACGGGTTCATTCACTCATGCTCATATCAGTGGCTCAGTCAGGTTTTCGGTTTGATTCGAACTGAATCAGTTCATTCATCACAGGAACAGATACACCGCTAGGAGATCTGTGCTGCTCGAGCCGCAAACTGTTTTGGACGATTCAGTCCGATTTGGTGAACTGGTTCAACTAGTTCACTAAAAAGAACCGGTTCAAAAGAATGATTCATTCGTGAACCGGACATCACTCTGGTTCGTATGTCTGAATACAGGTAATAATGTTGTAAATAATGTTCAGTTTCTTGCACAGACTGATCGTTTCACTTCATAAGACCCTAATATATCGTCAGGAGCCATGGGTTTTTATTTTGTGTCGCCTGTATATGCTTTTTGATTCTCAAAATGATGGTAGCCATTGACTTGCATTTGATGAATCACTAAAGACCACGTTTTCAGCTAAAAATCTTCTTTACTGTTCTACTGAAGAAAAACAAACTTCTTGGATGGCCTGAGGGTGAGTAAATTGACAGCAAATGTTCATTTTTAGGCAAACTATCCCTTTAAAGGGGTCCTATTATGCTCTTTTACAAAGTCTTGATTTTGTTTTGGGGGTGTACTAGAACAGGCTCTCATACTAGGTTGTTCGAAAAACACATTATTTTTCACATATTTTACGTTATTACAACACGTCTCTCCCCAGTCTGGCATGAACGGCTCGAATAGTTCCTGTATCAAATGAAGGCCTGCCTTCTGAAATACGAAATGTGCTGTGATTGGTTATCTGGGCCAGTGTGTGTTGTGATTAGTTAGCTGGGCCAGTGTGTGTTGTGATTGGCTAGCTGGGCCAGTGTGTGCTGTGATTGGTTAGCTGGGCCAGTGTGTGTTGTGATTGGCAGCACTCGGCGCCTGGTCGGGAAATGTCATGCCCCTTA